GCATCATTGTCTTGTGCCAGTTTTCAACGGGAATGCTTCCAGTTTTTGCCCATTCCGTGTGATATTGGCTGTGGGTTTGTCATAAATAGCTCTTATTATTTTGAGGTATGTTCCATCGATACCTAGTTTATTGAGAGTGTTTAGCATGAAGAGGTATTGAATTTTATCGAAGGCCTTTTCTGCATCTATTGAGATAATCATGTGGTTTTTGTCTTTGGTTCTCATTATGTGATGGATTATGTTTATTGATTTGCATATGTTGAACCAGCCTTGCATCCCAGGGATGAAGCCAACTTGATTGTGGAGGATAAGCTTTTTGATGTGCTGCTGAATTCAGTTAACCAGTATTTTATTGAGGATTTTCGCACTGATGTTCATCAGGGATATTGGCCTGAAATTTTCTTTTTTTGTTGTGTCTCTGCCAGGTTTTGGTATCAGGATGATGCTGGCCTCATAAAATGAGAGGGAGGATTCCCTCTTTTTCTATTGTTTGGAATAGTTTCAGAAGGAATGGTACCAGCTCCTCTTCGTACCTCTGGTAGAATTCGGCTGTGAATCCATCTGGTCCTGGACTTTTTTTGGTTGGTGGGCTATTAATTACTGCCTCAATTTCAGAACTTGTTATAGGTCTATTCAGTGATTTGACTTCTTCCTGGCTAAGTCTTGGGAGAGTGTATGTGTCCAGGAATTTATCTATTTCTTCTGGATTTTCTAGTTTATTTTCATAGATGTGTTTATAGTATTCTCTGATGGTAGTTTGTATTTCTGTGGGATCAGTGGTGATATCACCAATATCATTTTTTATTGCATCTACTTGATTCTTTTCTTCTTTATTAGTCTGGCTAGCAGTCTATCTATTTTGTTGAAGAAATTCCCACTTAAAAAAGGTTATATCTCTGATTAGTGCCACAACATGATGAACTTTGAAAATATGCTAAGTGAAGGCCAGGCGCGGTGGCTCACGCCTGTAATCCCAGCACTTTGGGAGGCCAAGGCGGGCAGATCACGATCCTGGATTCATTGATTTTTTGAAGAGTTTTTCGTGTCTCTATCTCTTTCAGTTCTGCTCTGATCTTAGTTATTTCATGTCTTCTGCTAGCTTTTGAATTTGTTTGCTGTTACTTCTCTAATTCTTTAATTTTGATGTTAGGGTGTCAATTTTCAATCTTTTCTGCTTTCTCTTGTGGGCATTTAGTGCTATAAATTTCCCTCTAAACACTGGTTTAAATGTGTCCTAGAGATTCTGGTACGTTGTGTCTTCGTTCTCCTTGGTTTCAAAGAACAGCTTTACATCTGCCTTCATTTCATTATTTACCTGGTAGTCATTCAGGAGCAGGTTGTTCAGTTTGCAGTAGAAAATGACTTCACTTGCCCCAGACCTAATAATTCCCTTGTTCCCACTTCTTCTTGGTGCTTTCCTCCTTTGTGTCTACCATCGTAACATTCATCTAACCATAGTTGTCTTATGTAGATGTTGGGTGCTGTTGAGAAATGCACAAAGCAAATTAGAAGGAAGATGTGATTGACAGAAATTGTTTTTTACTGTGTATTCACTTTCCATGTATTTGTGCTAATCTCTCCATACAGGTCTTCTTTGGCAATGTGGATTCATCTGGGATAAAACACAATATTTTTAACCCTCCAATTATTGCTCGATACATCCGTTTGCACCCAACTCATTATAGCATTCGCAGCACTCTTCGCATGGAGTTGATGGGCTGTGATTTAAATAGTAAGTGCCAAGTCATCCTATATCCTTCTTCCCTCAACTGTGGGTAGGGCGACTAACTGTTCTAGTTATCCTGAGACTGGGGGAGGGTTCCCAGTATCAGGACACAAAATTGTCAGTGCTAAAACCAGCGCAGTCCTGGGCAAACCCAGAAATACCATTCAACCCAGCAACGCCATAACTGGGTGTATACTCAAAGGAATATAAATCATTCTGTCATAAAGACACATGTATACATATATTCATTTCCGCACGATTCACAATAGCAAAGGCATGGAACCTAAATGCCCATCAACAACAGACTGGATAAAGAAAATGTGGTACATACATACCATGGAATACTATGCAGCCATAAAAAAGAATGAGTTCATGTCCTTTTCAGCAACATAGATGCAGCTAGAGGCCATTATCATAAATGAACTAATGCAAGAACAGAAAACCAAATATCACCTGTTCTCATAAATGGGAGCTAAACATTAAATGCACATGGACACAATAATGGAAACTCAGGAGGGGAGAGGTTGGGAGGGGGGTGTGGGTTCAAAGGTTACGTATTGGGTACTACACTCACTACCTGGGTGAGGGGATCATTCATACACCAAGCCTCAGTGACATGCAATTTACCCATGCAACAAACCTACCCATATACTGCCTAGAACCTAAAATAAAAGTAGAAGAAGAAAAGAAACAAGGAAAATTAAAGAGTCACACAAAGTGGGAAGAGCTGGCCAGAAAACAGATAACGATAACAGAATTGGCTGGGCGTGGTGGCTCACACCTGTAATCCCAGCACTTTGGGAGGCCAAGGTGGGCAGATCACGAGGTCAGGAGATCAAGACCATCCTGGCTAACACGGTGAAACCCCATCTGTACTAAAAATACAAAAAATTAGCTGGTCATGGTGGCGTGCGCCTGTGGTCCCAGCTACTCTGGAGGCTGAGGCAAGAGAATCACTTGAACCCGGGAGGTGGAGGTTGCAGTGAGCCGAGATCACGCCACTGCACTCCAGCCTGGGTAACAAAGCGAGACTCCATCTCAAAAAACAAAACAAAACAAAAAACCAATAACAGAATCTATGCAAAAGTTAACACTTGAGAAATGATATGATGATGACAGTAGCCCTAGAATATCAGTGGAGGCTGCTCAGTATAACTGACGCTGAAGCATGTCCTTGTGATAACCTTCTTTTTTCTTTTCTTTGAGGTTGCAGCATGCCGTTGGGAATGGAGAGTAAAGCAATATCAGATGCACAGATTACTGCTTCATCCTACTTCACCAATATGTTTGCCACCTGGTCTCCTTCAAAAGCTCGACTTAACCTCCAAGGAAGGAGTAATGCCTGGAGACCTCAGGTAAGAGGCAACAGATTTACTCTTTAACTGACTCAAAGCAGTGGTTGGGGAAAAAATGGGGGAAGCCCTTGACTGTTTCTTCCGAGGTATTTCTGTCAACTGTTAGTCCTAAAAAGAGTGTCAAGGAAGTTTGATTATGGGCTAATATCTGTCAAAGAATTGTAGAAGCTAAAGTCCATTTTACATATAAATATCAACAATTAGCTTTCTTTCCAGGTTTCTCATTACATCAATGGAAAGTAAACATTTACTGTGCATCTTAGTATCCCCAGGATGCGTCTAGGGATACAAAGGTGAATTGTGAAAAATTTTGGCCCTGAAGTTGCTTAGAGTTGAATAAGAGAGACTGATTAGCCAATAGAAAGTAGAGGCCTGGCAGCGCGGTGGCTCATGCCTGTAATCCCAGCACTTTGGGAGGCTGAGGCGGGCTGATCACAAGGTCAGGAGTTCGAGACCAGTCTTTTGCTGAGGCAGGCTAATCACATGAACCTGGGAGGCAGACGTTGCAGTTAACTGAGATCACACTATTGTACTCTGGCCCAGGCGACCGTGCCTGACTCCGTCTGAAAAAAAAAAGAAAGAAAGAAAGAAAGAGAAAGAAAGAAAGAAAGGAAAGAAAGAAAGAAAGAAAGAAAGAAAGAAAGAAAGAAAGGAAGGAAGGAAGGAAGGAAGGAAGGAAGGAAGGAAGGAAGGAAGGAAGGAAGAAAGAAGGAAGGAAGAAAGAAAGAGAAAGAGTAAGGCTGGGCACAGTGGCTCACTCCTGTAATCCTAGCACTTTGGGAGGCCTAGGTGGCAGATCACCTGAAGTCAGGAGTTCAAGACCAGCCTGGCCAACCTGGTGAAACCTCATCTCTACTAAAAATAGAAAATTATCCGGGCATGGTGGTGGGTACCTGTAACCACAGGTACTCGGGAGGCTGAGGCAGGAGAGTCGCTTGAACTTGGGAGGCAGAGGTTCAGTGAGCTGAGATCGTGCCATTGCACTCCCGCCTGGGTGACAAAGCGAGACTCCATCTCCAAAAAAGAAAGTAGAGTGAGAAATGCTGTGGTATGGTTAAGAGGGATTTGGGAATTTCTGGGAGTAAATGGTTACCAAGAGGCTACTAATCCAACTCTGTTGCCCTCAGGTGAATAATCCAAAAGAGTGGCTGCAAGTGGACTTCCAGAAGACAATGAAAGTCACAGGAATAACTACTCAGGGAGTAAAATCTCTACTTACCAGCATGTATGTGAAGGAGTTCCTCATCTCCAGCAGTCAAGATGGCCATCACTGGACTCTCTTTTTTCAGAATGGCAAAGTAAAGGTATGCTGGTCTCCTTGGAAAGAAAGGAAAAAAAAAAAAAAACCACCTCTCCTAGAGCTTAGCATAACATAACAAGGTTGATATATGACCAAACTTTCAGGGCAACATTTATTAAGTACCTAAGGTAGCAAGACATTGTAAAAGGCATTCTGAGAGAACACGGTGACTTTAAGAAAAAGGTAAAGTACTGAGAAAAGGGCAGAGTAGATCCAAGAGTTGATTCTCCTCATCAGCACCTTGATTCCCAAGCCTTTTTGACCTTTAATTTTAGTGGTCCAGGAAGTCTTCATTCTTAATCTGGGTTTACTGGATAATTCAACAAATTGTGCTGATGAAAAGACATGACATAAACTCTTATCATCCCATGAGTAATGGGGGAAGGAATAGTTCCTCTCTTTGGTATTTTCTATATTCTTTGTTCACTAAGAGTTAACCATGATATGGTCCTTACCAATCTCTCTAATACAGTCTCTTGCCACTTGGCTCTTTAAGCTCCATCCATACTAAGAAGTTCGGCCGGGCGCGGTGGCTCAGGCCTGTAATCCCAGCACTTTGGGAGGCCGAGACGGGCGGATCACGAGGTCAGGAGATCGAGACCATCCTGGCTAACACGGTGACTAAAAAATACAAAAAACTAGCTGGGCGAGGTGGCGGGCGCCTGTAGTCCCAGCTACTCGGGAGGCTGAGGCAGGAGAATGGCGTAAACCCGGGAGGCGGAGCTTGCTGTGAGCTGAGATCCAGCCACTGCACTCCAGCCTGGGAGACAGAGCGAGACTCTGTCTCAAAAAAAAAAAAAAAAAAAGAAATTCTCAGGTCACTAAACACAGCACATTGTATCTCATATCAGGCTTTTAAATAGATACTATTTCTTCTACCTGGAACATTTTTCTAGCTGCGCACTACTGCCACTTTCACCTGACTCATTCTTTAAGTCTCAGATAAACATCAGGTTCAAGAAGAATTCCCTTATCCATCAAGGCTGGATTAAAGACTTCACCAAACTGGCAGTTTGGTGAACTAAAGTCTAGACATTGGATATTCTAGAAGAAATTCCCATTTAAAAAAGGTTATATCTCTGATTAGTGCCACAACATGACGAACTTTGAAAATATGCTAAGTGAAGGCCGGGCGCGGTGGCTCATGCCTGTAATCCCAGCACTTTGGGAGGCCGAGGAGGGTGGATCACGAGGTCAGGAGATCGAGACCATCCTGGCTAACACAGTAAAACCCTGTCTCTTCTAAAAATACAAAAAATTAGCCAAGCATGATGGCGGGCACCTGTAGTCCCAGGTACTCAGGAGGCTGAGGCAGGAGAATGGCGTGAACCCAGGAGGCGGAGCTTGCAGTGAGCTGAGATTGCACCACTGCACTCCAACCTGGGCCACAGAGTGAAACTCAGTCTAAAAAAAAAAGGGAAAATATGCTAAGTGAATAGGCCAGACATAAAAGGATATAGATATTGTATGATTCTACTTATATGAGTGTGTTAGTCAGGGATATCCAAAGAAACAGAACCAATAGGAGATTCTGTCTGTCTGTCTGCCTTCTCTCTCTGGATGAGCTAAACTCTTTTAGTTCAAGACTGAAAGCAGGAAAAAGCAGATGTTCCAGTCCAAAGGCAGTCAGGCAGCAAAAATACTTTCTTACTTGGGGAAGACTCAGCCTTTTTGTTCTATTCAGGCCTTCAACTAATTGGATGATGCCTGTCCACATTAGGGAGGGCAATCTGCTTTACTCAGTCTACTGACTTCAGTGTTAATCTAATTCAAAAACACCCTCGGAGAAATACTCAGAATAATGTTTGAGTAAATATCTGGGTACCTTATAACCAAGTAAAGTAGATACATAAAAATAACCATCACAAGTCCACCCCTTGTCAATGTAGCACCCACCATACACATCTCCTTTATCTCTAAATAGAGACAGAAATGAGGTCCTAATTCCACCTAACATGATATGACAAAACTTGACTGGTATTGATAACTACCTTCTTCTACTACCCATTCTGTGTTGACTTTGCCTTCAGCAAGCATCTCAGCTGATTGTGGTTCTTTACCTGATGGGGTGACCCGAACCTTTATTCCTGAAGAGCCTGGGCCATTAGTAGTCCTGCATGGATTGGGTTGCTGTAGTTTCCCATTGACCAGAATCATAGGGTGTGGTAATAGTAAGAGATACTCTAAGGGATCTATTATATTCTAGACACACTCTTCCATACCTCCGTTGTGAAGTAGTAGTCCAGTTTCCTTCCAGGAAGGACAAAACGCTGCCCCTTCCATGATTAACATATTCTAGTGGAATCAGCCTGCTGCCAGATAGCTGGCTGATCATCCTGGGAAATACTGCCATACTGGGGACTCTGTGTTTGTCTCTACTGCTATCAGATTGGGCCCTTAGCAGTGGCCATAGACAGGTCAGCCTTGTTGAATAGAAGTTCATGTTGCTGAGCCCACGCATAACCTCTATCCCTGCCACCATGGCTACTTTGTTCATGAGCCCATCAGGCAGTGACATAGGTGGCTGAGTAAAGAGGATGACTGGTATCCACAGAACAGGTCATCATATCTACTTTTTTTTTTTTTTTTTTTTTTGATGGAGTCTTGCTCTGTCACCCAGGCTGGAGTGCAATGGCACGATCTCGGCTCACTGCAACCTCTGCCTCCCGGGTTCAAGCATTTCTCATGCCTCAGCCTCCCAAGTAGCTGGGACTACAGGTGCACATCACCACACCTGGCTAATTTTTGTATTTTTAGTAAAGACAGAGTTTCACCATGTTGGCCAGGCTGGTCTTGAACTCCTGACCTCAGGTGATCCTCCTGCCTTTGCCTCCCAAAGTGCTGGGATTACAGGTGTGAGCCACTGCACCCGGCTCATCATATTTACTTGATTACTGAAATCCTTATCTGCTGAGGTCACCCTTTGTTGAGCACTCACATGGGACATAAATATCTTCACATCCTTCGCCCATTCAGAGAGATCTATCTGCATACCTCTTCCCCAAATTTCTTTGTCACCTGTTTTCTAATCATGTTCCTTCCAAGTCCATATGTGGACAAAGCACTGACTACAGCCCATAATTTGACATATAATTGCACACCTGGCCATTTCTTCTTCTAAGCAAAGTCCACAACCAGGTACACTGCCTAAAATTCTGCCCACTGTCCTTCATGGATATCTCAGATAGAGACTGTCCACTTTTGTGTAGTACCTGCATATCATGCAAAACCATTGGTAAACCAGGTCCAAGACTCCTCTTCCTCTGTAAACTGATCATAGGGAACTCCCAATGAGGCCATAAGTGCAGGCTGGGAGAGAGAAGGCAGGGTAGCAGAAACAGGCACCATGGACATTTGGGCTACTTCTTAATGTAATTTACATGTGCCTTCAGGACCTGCTCAGACCTAACCATGTATATACCACTTCCATTTGATGATGGAGTGCCATTATTCATACCCAACTTTATGGCTTGGTAGATCAGATAACACCTAGTTCATGATGGGCAGTTCAGGTCACATGGCAACTTGGTGATCTGTGGCTAAGCATTCAGTATCTACTAAGGCCCAGTTGTAGGCCAAGAGCTACTCACAAAAGGAGAATAGCTATTCACAGAGGATTACAGGAGGATTTCTCACTATAATAGCTCCTGCTCCATAAGTCAGGGAACCAATGTGAAGATCCTGCTAGCTGCTCAATGTATCTGTTCCAATTACGCATTCCAGGACTGGGGAAATAACCACAAGATAGGCTCACAGATCCTCTGCATCCACTTTGAGATGGACTTGAGCTAAAATTCCATTGATCATTTGACCCTCCATAAGCCCATACTCTTGACTGGTGGACCACAGTGACATTTTGGGTCTCCAGAAATTAGTGCCAGTTCAGAGCCATTGTCCAGTAGTCCCTAAAAGGTCTGATTAAGTATTTTTCTTCAATGCACAGTTATTCTGATAGAAAGGCCGTATGTCCCTTTGGGGAAGGCTGAGAGAAAGTAACAGTATTCTTGGCAGTGTACCAGAGTCCTTCCTCAAGGAGACTGAGCCTCCCCTTCATTCAAGTAGTGCTGGGTCTGTAAACTTGCTCAAGTCTGGGAATTGATTGAGAGGCCGTGACTCTGTTTTTATTATTCAGGTTAGACTTTTGTTCACTTGACCTAGAACTTTTCCGCTTATACAGATCAAGTATTTGGTAGGCATTCTATCTATATCTCGTCTAGGAACACTCTAATCTACTAGCCAACACCATAGTCATACTATTCTAATTGCTGCTTTGACTCTGCTATCCCTTATGGTAACCACACTTACCTTGCCTTTGGCAGTTGAGTGCTGCCCCTTTTCCCCTGTCACCCCAGGATCCAATTATTCCCATCGTATTTAGGTTTTCTAATTCAGTGAATGCAGGTCCCGCTGTAAGGTGTCACCTACAGAGAAGAGTGATCACAGAGCCCTTCGAGGATGCTGAGGTTCCTCTGACAAATTTATTTCTCAAAGTAATGGTGAGATCTGTGTCTTCTGAACTCTCCCAGTGTTGGTGAGTAGGTCTTAAATGACAAATTAACTCAAGCATTTCAGTCTCCTTTCTTCTACATTAAACCAGGGCAAGTTTGAAATTTCTAGTTTGCTCACTGTGGGCCATCTTTTGGTCTGTGTTTCAGTCAACCAATTAAACCGTTAGAGGCCTTCCTAATTCCCTGAGATGCAAACTCAAGTCATTCTTTTGGAGTGTAGTGCATCTTGTCATGGGTCACCTTCATACCTCACCTCGCCTGCTGGGACTTGAGTGTAGTTAGAGATCTAATAACAAAGAGGGGTGGTAGGGTGGGTCCTGAAGGCAATCAGCATTATCTTGCATGGCAGTTGCCTCAGGGGAGGCCATTACAGTTTCCGCAGGCAGTGCAGGGTTAATCCACTTAGACTGGAGTGGAGACACTGCCACCACAGGGATGGAGAGACAACTTTCACTGGCAAAGAAGACTCATCAATATTTAGGAGCTCAATGTCCCC